AAATATTATATTTTATTGGCAGTGTTAATTCTGATTTGAAAATGGTTACTGGTATGATGTACCTTAGAGTTATTACCAGATAACTTACTCCAAATTTCTAGTGATTGCTTGATATCTTATGAGAATCCTACTGCTTACATTACATCCCTTCTTATTAATTTATATGAGTTGTAAAATATTTATATCATATTAAAAGGTATTACAGTTAGTGTCTCACTGAAAGTTATGCTGATTTATCAGACACTTTTGCTGCATGCTACAGTAAACCATCTTGACATTTTAGTTTAGCTTATTTGTAGCTTACGGTATCGACTTATGTGGCAAGTATAGGTATAAACCATCTAAAAATAGGTCTAAAAAGATCAACATATATACCAGTATATATGGTATTTTTTAATGATATTCAAAATATTAATATTTTATTTTTTATGTATAATGGATTTAATCTTTAACAGTTAACTGTCATTCTATATTTTAAAGTACTGATTCAATGGCTGAGTTGAAACTGAACAGTGACTCAAAAGTGTAATCACTCAATATATGGCTTATTAAAAACTCAAGCATACATTGTAGAAATACATCATTTTCAATAAATTATTGTTGTATTTGAATTAAATTAGTAGCATCAAATCAAATTAATTTTACTTCCTTATTTATTTAATTACATTTGCATGAACGAATACAGTCGACCCCCCATAACACGGTAGATACATTCCACTTTATAAGAATTTTGCATTGTAGGAATCCTTAAATACATGAGCCAGTCACAGCCCGGCACGTGTGCAGTTTACGGACTACGGCTGTTTGAAAGGTTTTCTTCCATAAAATTAATCGATTTTAGACTAATTTGACTCAACATTTCCAAAACACATAATTTTTTGGGACTAATCCATATAAACTATGCTATAAACAAAAAATTGTAGGATTACTTACCGAGTGTGCACTGTTCGATGATGCCATTGCTTAAGCTTGTTTTCGTCGCAGAGCAGCACACCAAATGGCGGGGACGTTTTCTGATAAGTTATTTTTTTACAAAAAATTTGTTGAACTTTGGAGACATCATTAATAGAAATAATTTTTATGGCCATTGAATAAGAAATGTTTTTTTCATAAGAAATGTATAAAATTACAGTACTGTATTAGACTTACAGTACCTAATTTATATACTGTACAGATGATAGTAAACTCAATTTACCCGCCTAAACTCTCCGTAGCGTGTAAATAGTTTGGCTGCTCGTCCACTATTGGTGCAGATTTGACCAATCCTGTCGCGACACGAGTTGGCAATGACGTTTTATCGCATTTTACGAGTCTCTTTTAGTGTCTTTATACGAATACGGTCGCAATTTTTTCCCCGTGATATATGAATCCGCATTATATGAACCCGTGTTATAGGGGGATCTACTGTATTTTTAATTTGCCAACTTGGTATATATAACAACAAATGTATCATAACAAATGTGACAAACCTTTGTAAAGGTTGTTGAAGAATTACAGTATAAATTCAAAAATTGGAACTTGTATTCAGTTAAAGTATTTGAATGTAAAGACTCAAAAATGGATGTTGAATATGTCCAAAAATGTTAGCCTGTAGATTTAAAAACTTGTACTGATATTTAAGATTTATGAATATTGTTAACAAATATAATGACTGATCAGTTAGAATAGCCCATAATTCCTGTGGCTTACTTTATCAGCATCAGCTTAGTGCAGATCAAAAACAAAAGTAAGAATTTAATTATCAATTAATGTTAAGTTAATTTAATGTATTAGATTGTTATAATTCCCAAGTTAATAATGACAAGTAATGTCCTGTGGACAAGAAAGAACTACCCCTAATAAAAGACACTTAAATAAAAGCAAAAAACAACAATGGCCATGCAATACAAGAGAAAACAGTAGAAACATATAAAACAAAATGAAGACACTGAAAAGCAAAAACTAAAAGTATTTTATAAAATCAATTGATTACAATAAAAAGTATAAAAAGGGAGAAATATATATATATATACATAAACATGTATAATGTACAATAAAAACAGCTGAAAACAGAATAAAAAAGAAACAATTAGCAAAAATATATTAAAGCTTTACATCCTTTTTAAAATGAAAAAGATCCTCAATGGAGGTTTAATTTACTTTCTTAATTGATATCAAAGATATTTTATGATATCATTGTAAAGGATGAGTTACTGTTTTGGTATGATAGTAACAATTACATATATTTTATCAACTATTACTTTAAATAAGATTAGCATTTTAATATCTTTAGGTAAAATATTAATAAATAAATGGTAAAATATTAGTTATACCATAATGAATTTCATCAAAATATATTACAAAACATTAATTTGTCTTAAGTGCTTCATAGATATTGCAGATTGATGATGTTATATAAAAATTCACAAGAAATTTATTTACAATAATAATATTTAGATTATTATATATTTTAATCNATGGTATGACAGAGCTGGTGGGTCCAGTATAAGAGGCTCAGTGCAGAGCTACGAAGAACGGTACGGCAGTCGAGATGAGAGTGGTGGTACCGGGCATGTGGGCGGCCACTGGAAAAATCTGCCATTTATCAGATCTTCAGACGCCTCCGAGCCCCCCCAGACAATGCTGACGATTATAGGATTCTTACCAACCCGGAGGTGCTGGTCACGCCCTATGATCAAGTGGAGGCATTGGCTACTTATTTTGGTCGCCCCTGGCAGCAGGGGTGTTTTGCGCCCCAACGGGATCTAGGATGGTCAAGCGAGGGAGGGGAGGACAAACAGTTTACGCTGCACGATATCTGTCTCACAATCCGGAAGATGAAATCTATGGCGCCGGGACCGGACCAATAGGGGCCCAGGAACTGAGGGCTCTGCCGAATGAGGGGCTGCAAGACCTCCTGGACAATTTTAATGCAATATGGGAGACAGCTATCAGTACATGCAGATACAGTTAAAAAAAAAAAATAACTGTATAAATTGCACTCAGGTATATAAGTAGCATTCTAGGTTCAGAGATAACCACAGTTCTGTGGAAGATTCCCCAAGGTATTAACTGCATTCATTGAAGTCCCAGTTGTGAATGTGGTCTGCAAATGCTATATTGTTTAAAATGTACTTCCTGTAGCTTCTTGTACAGGATGGGGCAGAAAGGATGGACATTTTTGAAATGGCTACAACTCACCACCAGGTGAAGTGACAGATGTGTGGCAAGTAGTGTAAAAGTAGTGAGGTCTTTGCATTGTCTTTTCAGTTGAAGGCATGGAACCGTGAATGATAGAACATCATTTGTTTGCGTATGACTGAGGAAACAATGAGATCATTGTTGTCCCATCATCTGTAGCAAGTTGGAGTGCAACAGTACAGCATATAAGTGGGCATATCAGTCAAAGATTACTAGTGTTTTGCACTGATATCATTTTCTGATATTTTAAGTATTTTTCATATAAAAATATAGTGGGAATCATATAAATTTATAGTGCTTTTAGTATTGTGTAATTAGTATACCCAAATTAAAAAATCAAGGATGGTTGGCTGAGAGAAGAGTTTTGAAGAAAAATGTAGTATAGATGATGATAATTATATAAATATTTGTTTTGCTACTTTATTTCTATGAAAAAGTGCAGCATGTTTTCAGGCATGTTGTTTCCTTTTTTCATTTTTTTTATACTTCCCATGCTTTGCCTTCAAGGCCATGTGACCCCAAACACAGGTAATTTTTTTCATTTTTCACAAAGTAAAGATCCATCAAATGATCAGAGCTAAAAGATTTTTTTTCTTTTTAATTTTTTAAATTGTTTATACTCTTTTTTTAATATTTTTGGAAGAAAAAGAAGATATGAAGAATATAATTTTTTTTTTCTTTTGCATTTTGATATATTTAATGTATTCAAAGAGTATATTTAACAATAAAAAAATATTTCTTGGAAAAATGTTTGATGGTATTTTTTAAAAATAATAATAAATTTTTAGAAATTAAGTTTAAAGGTAGAATATATATATATATTTTTTTTTTTTGTGTATAAAGATATCAAGGAGTTTTAAATGAAAGGAGCACTGAGATATTTGGTTTTTGTTTGCACTTTTTTTTTATTTGATGATATGATGATGATGATGATGATGATGTGTGATTTTTGAAAATGTAAATCATTCACTGCACTGGTATATAATGTTTTGTGAACACAACTATCACTCATAATGTATAGAATGATGATTTTTTTTATTTTTATTTTGTAAATACACTGTTAGGAATTTTGTACAAGAATTAGATTTTGATATTCTAGCAGATAATGGGGATTGGAATTTTGCATTCGACGTTACCATCATGTCTTGGCAGCTAATATTATTTAGTTGCATCATGCTTCCTTGTGACAGTAAGAAATGAATTATATGCATGCCAGGCTGAACTAATTGAGTTTTTTCTTTAGCAAAATGTTTAAAATTTGTAAATTATAATATTAAAATATATATATTTATATTTTGCAAGTTATCTCCAGTTAAACTTGAGTAATTTGTATTTGCTAAAGACAAAACTCAAATTGTTTGTGTTTGTGTCTGTGTGCATAAAATAAAAAAATTCCCAAAATGATAGTATATTGCTTGTGTAATTTAAAATTAAAAAAGTAAATTGCATGTTATTATTTAAAAAAACAAAGACATGTGTTTGGATAAATGTTTGCATTATTGATTCTAATAGCAAAAGGAAATAAAGTTGGTATTTTGTGGCATGAGAAAAGTGTATTTGTACAATGTTCCTGATAGCACATGTACTTGCCATAAATAACATGAAACAATGTTGTCGTCACCTCAACAGAGCCTGCTTTTAATGGTGGATATTGTAACAGGGTGTATTGTTCTGTAAAATGGAGATGAGTACCCAGAATGATAACAGCTGCACTCCCATATGCAATTTTTTCATGTTTGATTTCAACAACTAATACAAATTTGTAATTTGTTTCTGCATATATGTTTGTTATTTCTGAGAAAATTCTGTCCCACTCCCAGGTCGCAGTATTATCAAAAAAGGAGACGGGTCACAAGTGAAAGAGTCTTCTGACAGTAACACAACATTAGAAGATGATGATGTGAAAGGTAATTGGTATAGGGTCTATATTGTTAACTGATAGAGGACATTATACACTATATTGTAATTTGGCTTTACTTGATGCACCTTCCCTCGAGCTATATATATAAATTATATATATTCTGCTGTAACTGTCTTTCTAAGATGCATAAATTAAAGCACTTCATATAATTAGTGGTTTGTCTGATGGGACACTTTTTTACACAAGATAATCAGGTAAGCACACGTTGCTTTTGCTGTGAGCATTGTGATAAATTGAGGTTTCGGTGAATGTACTGTGACTATTCTGTTGCATTTGCATATTAACTTGATAGCTAAAATATCCCTTTTTTTCCCTTTATTTTATTAACAAAGTGTCTCCATCCAAAATCATAGAATCTTGCAAAATTGTGAATGGTTTGTTTCCTAGGCACAAGTGTAGTATTCAGTTTGAAATTATAGTAATATTTAGCATAATATTTATACTAGTCACACCATATTGTAATTGTAATATTACTATTTAAATATAAAACAATTTTTCTTTTTCTTTTCAAAACTTCACAATTTGATTTAATTAATTGTTTCAACATCTATCAAAGAAAATAAATACATCATTTTTATTTGAATAATAATTATCCTTGAATAGTAATGTAGTCTCATCCTTTNGGCAAAATTTTTGAGTTTAAATGGATAAATAATTGTATTTGATTCTGAGGATTTAAATATTTTGTCGTAATATAAATTGAATGTGAATGATAACATGAATGTTGAAACAGAAACTCTCTAACTAAATGCTTGAAATTGCTGGGTATTCTGTATCTTCATTCTATTAGAATATTTTTCAAGTGAAAATTGATAAATTTTCTTAATAAATATATAAAATTTAATAAATTAAATTATGATTTTCTTATTAAAAATATAAAATTTAATAAATTAAATTATGATTATATGAATATAATTAGTCTTATAAAAATTAAATAAGTATTGAAATTGACTGCAAATTTTTTAAAATATTAAGATTTTAAAAATTTCTATTTTATTAACATTCAACAATAATCTCTTAATAATTTGTCAATATCAAATACAAACATTTAAAAAAAAAGTTTTATATAAATGAATGAAATCTGCTAGAAAATAAATTGACACCTTAGAAATCAACTCTAGAAAAAAGTTTAATGAAACAAAAATGTTTTCAACCTAATTTGATGGGTCTTCGTCATTTGAGTTATTTAATATTCTTTTTATTCAAATATGTTCTATTTTAGAATACTTAACTAATGAAGATCTATTAAAGTGGGTTGGAAACATTTTTTTTCATTGAACTTTTTGCTGGAGTTGATTTCTAAGGTGTCAATTTATTTTCTGACATTCCCTCTAGTTTCTATATTTTGTTACATAAAATCTGCTGATTACACAATTATAATTATAATAAAAAATTTTGGTGTTTTTCTAGACTAATTTTTTATTGATAAATTAATAACGGAATTTGACACTAAACAGAATTTTTATGCTTTTAATTTAATTATCTTACAAAGTTAATAATTTATCTACATCTAGAAAAAAGATTGTTTCAGAGAACAGTTCCAAATCTTATGATGTTTATAACATAAAATAAAATGCTCTTCTAAATAGTTTAGAATTCCAGCATAACCATATACAGGTATCCCTTGAGTAACGTGGTTAATTAATCCCTCAATGCTACTGCTTGTATCAAAATCATGTTAATCAAATATAGTATCGATGTTAAGTAAAAACAGCTGATAAAGCTGTATTAATTAAAACTTCTGCCACATATATAAAGGGATTGCTGCAATTAATTTCACACGTTAATCAAATTTTGTGTTAAGCAAAACAACATTAAGCAAGGGATAGCTATGTTTTACAATGTTTATGTAGAGACAAGTATTCACAATCATTCAAATATAATTTTAAAATTAAAGTATTGATGATTTAATGTCAGAGTTAATGATAAACTTTGCTAGATATACAGGGTCTTCCAAAATGAATGCTACCAATGAATTGTATGATCAATGATTAAAATAATGGCATAGTCTGATTGAAAATAAATAGAAACATTTCTGTTTGGTCTGAGATTCAAATGTAAAATTTAGAAAAAAAAAAGGGGGGGAATTATTAAGAGATTATTTATGTTTAATTTGAACTAAACATAATCAATTATTTTTAATAATCTTCTTTCATGAAATATAAATTAATACAAAAGCATAAATTCAAATTAATTAATTTTGAGAAAAATATATATTTTAAAAAAATTTGTACA